AAGGACTGAAGACCAGGATCACAGTCCCCAGATGACACTCCTTTATAAAGAGAAGCTCCTTTATTCATTGCATGATGGCAGCGGATAAGCTGCTTTAGCCCAAGTGATACCATCTACAGCTGTGGAACTTTACAGTCTAATAAGCCTGCAGAGATGTCAGGAGAACCATTGAACCACACCTATGTGCAGCAGGTTTCTGTCCCTTGGAGACTTGAACCAAATAAGAACTCCTGGAGGAATTTACAGGGCAGGATTCCAGCACTAGTGAGCAGAGCATTCTCATGGCTTCTCGCAGCCCAGTCCTTCTTAATGCTATCTCTTGACCAGAGCTGTCAGCTCTGGAAAGGATTTCATCTGTTCTATGGAGAAAACAACCTAACCTGCCCAACTGCTGCTAGATGCCCTGCTGGCCAGGACCTTGATTTTGAATGTTACCCTTCAAAGGATGCTTATGCTCCTGTTAACAACAAAAGCAAAGAGTTGTAACTTCCCCACCCTAGGCCTCATTTTCCTTGCGAAAGATTTTAATCAGAAACACAATGCAGTAAATTACATCTTCTTTCAGTAATTTAGTTTTCAGTGTTGTTTTTCAAACCAACTCTTGTGCTTGAGGTTAATGTTTTTGCCTGAGGTGTTGAATGAATATTGGAAATTTGACACTGAAGACAAAAGACAACAAACAAGAAAAGAGGAGAATGGAACCAAGAGTTTATTGGAGGCTAGGGATAATTAGACTATGCCATGAAAATAGCAAATACAGAATGAATTAGACCTTTTGCATCAGAACGGTCTAACAAGCAGCTTGTTAGTTAAATAAGGCTCTGGGTAAAGTGTATTCTGACTCGCATTTCCCAGGATGCCCTGCTCTTCAGACCAAGCTCCAAACACCTACAGGATTCAGCATTTAGTTAAAGGGAGAAGCAGTTCCTTTGGGGTTGCTGCTTCAGCATAGTGACAACAAGCAGACAGCTTGGCAGGCTGTATTCTCCAGAGAACGGGAAAAGAGACACTTGTGAGTGGTGATCTATCCCCATACGCGTTTCTAAAGTCACGTTGGTCATGTCTGTCTGAGTTCAAGTTATCTTGCTCTACCCCAGAACAGCAGGGAGACGTTCTTGTTTTTAAAGATTCAAGGAAGGAAAGCATTCCAGCCATGTCTGTGAATCAAAGGAGAGTGAGCCCCAAGCAAAGATAGAAAGCATACGGTACCTGCCATTGAGAGTACACGAACACAGACACACAACCAACACCCAAGACAGTCACACTGGGCGCACACATGCGCAGGGCCAGCTTTATGACCATCCAGAGAGTAGCCTCTATTAGCTCGTTTGGAAGACTCAGAAGAGTTCTGTATACTTAATGGGAAAAAGTTTCAGAAAAAGACAGGTCCTTGAAGGATTAGGACTCAGGTTGAGGGTAGTTTGATGTGGCAAAAAATTTAAGAATTCAAGATGTTTCCCCAAGATGGGCTAAGGACAGGCCAGGTATGAATACTTCCTTTAGGTGGTGATTTGGAGACTCCAGAGACTCTCTGGGCGAGGAAACTGGGAGGCATCACAATGGGAATGATGAAAAGCACAGAATGTAGGATTGTGGCACTACCAAAGACAGACCTCCGCCATATCCAGCTCACTCCTTCAACAAGGACCTAAGCTAGGAAAAATATGAATTATACAGGCTGCCTTGGATATGAGAAGCACAATCCGAACAGACGATGTAAAGGGGGGAGAGACTACATTTTAGTGGCCGTGTGACTCAGGAAAAATAAAGTAGATACAAGGCTACCATAATTGAATTCAGAAGCCAGGAGTGCACAAAATAGCAGTTGAGCTAAGCAAAGTGGCACAGTACACCATACTTGTAGGAGTATATATGAAGGCTCCCTAAGGGCCATCTGGAGCAGGAGTAGCCTGGGGGAAGCAAGTAGACTCAAGAGCTTTCTTTCTGAAGTGGAGAGTTTGCCTGGGAAGATGTTTTCCCTAGATTTCTGCATGCAGTGCCAATCAAGATTACTGCTAATTAAAAAAGAATACTTTAATACTGTCCTGAAATTTAGACAACTTCCACTGACACAGGATGACTGATGTTGGTCAAAGATTACAGTAAGTACTAGTAATCCAGGAATGAAAGGAGCTGAGAGTTATTCTTGTGAAAAATAGATGACACGGAGTGTGTAAATAATGGGAGCAAATGCAGCAAGATACAGGGAATCTTAGAACATTTAAGCCCTAATACATTACAAAGAGAGCTCAATGCTGATAAATGTAGAATAGTAAATTTTATGGGGCTTTATCATATGCTATAATTTGGTGTGCATCATAAAATATGAGAAACAAAAAATAGGGTAGTTGAAAGACAAGTCTGTGCATTATTTATGAATGATGAAGAGTGAAATGAATGAGAAGAAGAACAGGTAGACAATGTCTTGAATAATGATGACTTTGATGAGTCGTTACCACACAAATCTGTGTGCTTCATAAAATATGAGGAATATTAAAGAGCAGAAGAGTCAAAAGACAAGTCTACTCAGAATGAGATACAGAATGAAGGAAGAGAGGAATACAAGAGAAATGCACAGAATAATGATGACTTTTATGAGACTTTCACTCACCAGCCTGGATCCTTCATAAATATAAACTGTATAGAAAATAAAAGAGCAGCAAAGAGAAGAGACAGGTCTGTGTCTGTCATAAAATATAAGCAAATAATGCCAACTAGGCTTGACAAAATAAAAACAAAAATAATTGAGCCTAGTATAGCTGTGGGAAGATACAATGTCTAGAGTAATATGAACAAATAAAATGAGTAAGTGTGGAATTGTCCTGCCAAAAGGGAATCAGCGACCACCTAGCTAGGCTTTATTGTTGCAAAGGCCACCTTGTTAACTGGTAGAACCTTGGTAAGTTTGTGGAGTTACCCCATGCCCCCACAAAAAGCAGTCAGCTCTTAGGGCCCAGGAAGCCATGTTTAACTGATTTTCCTGTGCCTCTTCTCAGCCCTTCTAGCTCCAATCACTAGTTTGGAGGAGATTTTCTCAGCTTGCTTCTACTTCGTCTATACCCTGCTTGTCAAATTTTGTTTTATAAAGACCTTCAAAAGGTTACTGTATGAAACTAGAAACATCCTTTCATTTTCATTTCTTGTTACATTGGACTTAGAACCTGGGACCAGATCTGTCAAGATTAGTTCAAAATCCAGAACTCATTGACTTTCAAATAAATGTCTTCTCTATTAGAACAAATGGGATTTCAAAATCTCAAACTTTCAAAATCTCCCCAAAAGAGACTGGGAGAATCAGACAAGGTAAAGCAAGTGCCAATATGCCAATTTGCATACCATTTGGAACCATAATTTACAGAACTCATAAAATGTACAGCTCATTGGAAAGAAGAAAGCCACTGATCTATGTCAAAATTAGAGATGTTGGTCTGAGAGCTCAATACAACAATAGCAATAGTTACACTAGCTTACTTTTGGGTAGTACTTAATGGCTTGTAGCTTGTTTTGGGGGAAGGCCTTAGGTAATGCAGGTTAAATCCTATTAGCAAAACTTACATCCAATTCCTCTGTGTGTGATAGAACTTAGTGGGGAGTTTATTGGCTATAACATATAAAACAAACTTTGGCTGGTACCTGTCTTTTGATTTTTTTCAATTTTTTTCTCTCTCTCTCAAATGATCTTTGTAGCCATGAGCCTTTAGATATGTTGCCTCAACTTGCTAATTCTGTTTGAAGAAGTTATGCTAGGGTGAAATTATCATGGTTACTTTGGAAAGTCATGTTTTCCCAAATAACATGGCCCTCTTTAATCCAAGATTAAGATTCCCTGATCTACTGAATCCTGCTTGGTGAAAAAATGACATTAACTCGCTAGGAAAAAAAAAAAATCACTGAACTTGCTCAACCTTCCTCAACACTACCAGCTCCAGCTATAAAATGCACATTCTTGAGCTCAGGGCTGCCAAAACTAGGATTGAACTCCCCCCTCCCCAAGTGGTTAAAAAACTCACCCCCAACCCCTGCTGCCCCCAATAATGGCAGACCAGTGAAAAATCTTTGATTGGAATTTGCTTCTGGGCCCTCTTCTTAACTGTCAAGCTCCTGAAATTTGTTACAACTTGGTCAGGCTAGAGCTGAAAGTATACACGTTTTAGTGGACTATGTCTGGGAGACAGCCCTGTTTAGGGGCTAGTTTAATAGAATCCCATTTTTTGGCAAGGGTGAAACTCCTTTGTTTAAAGGGAAAATCACCTGAAATATTTTATTTCAATTAGGCAAGAGAAACAATACTATAGCCAAGGACCATGTCTCTTGCAGATTAACTCTTAAAATTTATCCAAGTAAGTTGGCTTTTTTTAAAAAATTCTTTTTCCAGAAAAGGCTGTTTGGCAATATGTATCAAGAGCCTTAAAAATGTTCACACGTATGTATGTAAATGCATAGAAAATGCACACAACAAAATGATGTTGCTGATTACCTCTGAGGAGAAGACCCAACAACTGGGAGAGGGAGGTGGTGAGCAGAGACTTTAGTCATATGTACTATATATTTATGTATTAACTAATGTAATGAATTTTAATTTTAATAAGAGAAAAATATTCTTCCACAACTAGGACCATCTCCCCAGGAAATAATAAGATATTCAATTCTGGAAAAGTTAAGAAACTACAAAATGTCCTAAAATAAGGAATGGATTAAATTTAAGGAATGCTGTTTGAAGGCTATATTGTATAATCACAAAGGAATTTCTGATTACATTGGACAATGTTAATTATATACTGTAAAAAATATGAGGATGCAGATCTGTACTGAGTATAATCCCAATTTTGATGGGTAAAAAAGATATACATGCCATCCTCAAAATGTTATTAGTAGTTACTACTGGGTTGGTGAAATTATTGTTTGTTATACTTTACTGTGTTTTCCAACATGTCTCCATCTTGGCTTCTGGAATCCAGTTTCAACATGCTTTTATATTTGCCTTTGATCTTGTGTTGCAGGCGTGCTTGTGTGATTCGAGGCCAAGTGGTGGCCGTAGATGGAACCCCTCTAGTAGGGGTGAATGTTAGTTTCTTGCACCACAGTGATTATGGGTTTACCATCAGCCGGCAAGATGGAAGGTACGTCAGTATTGCTTCTAATCATTGTGGGGGCCAAATACTGACTTCTAGCTATGAGTCAAACCAGGGCTTAGATGATACAGTCTTTGTAAGCCCATCTTCCTTCTAGCTGTATTTTGAAACGTCATTGGTGATATTTATTTCCTCTGTTCCCAACTAAATCAAATCAAATTTCTCTTCTAACCGTGCACTATTACTCAAGTCTTCTCGAGGCCCTGGCCATGTGGAAAGTTTCCTAGCCTTCATCCAATTCCATTTATCAATCTGGCTTCAAAATTCAGTGTGATGATGCAGATCAAAAAGAGGGAGCCATGGAGCACTTAGGCTGTTCTTCCATGGCAGCCTCAAAATATTTCAGAAATGAAGATGTCCAAAAGGTTTCTTCCAAAAACACAGAATTCAGCCTCATTAAGATATTTATTTTTAATGTGTCCTCCCTAGGCCTATTTTACTAATGGCTGCACCTGATTGACAAGCATGGTCAGCCTAACCAATTCCCTTCGGTGTCTATATAACTGTAGTGATTTAACCTCAACACCAACCACCAGACTACTCTCTAAGGGCTTCTCAGGTTCTCTGAGACCCGAGAAGCAGGACCACTAAGTAAAATCTTTTCATCCCAGAAAAGGATTTGCTCACAAAAACATTTCTGTTTCTCATTTAGGTAGACATTTTGTCTATCATTTAGATAGACTTTTGCTCAGAGTATTTGAGTCAATAGGCCCATGTGTCCAGCTTAAAGGTATACCTATTTATGACTCTCAGGAGCATTGTAATAATGGCCTTGAGGTGGCGTAGTCTCCAGATGGCTACCGTTAAAATGAACTACTCATGACAAGCTGCTTCAGGAGTCACATAAAGAGATGTTGGCTTGGAACTTTATCACAGTGTGAGAGACCATCTTATTTCAAGAACCTACAATCAAACCTTATTAATCCTAACGTCTTCAGAATTGTTAATTATTCAACCTGGGCTATGCTGAATTTATTTTTTTCAACTGCCCATCAAGAAAATGCTTATAAAAATTAGTTAAAGAAGCTAATAAGGAAAAGTTTTAACATACTTAAGAAAAACAAACCATTTCTAAGACTTCAGTAAATCCTATGAATGATTTGTATGTAAATTATATTGCTAATTCTTAACTAGCCATCTATTTATTAGAACAAACTCAGCAAAACTAGTCTGGGTACAGATAGTCTGAATACACACACACACGTGTGTGTATTTGTATATATATATATGTATATATATATATATATATTTGTATATATATTTATATATATGCAATAAAAAGTACATTTCCTTTCAAAAAGTCCATAATTGAAGCTCTCTACCAATTCAAAAGGACCTTTCTCCCAATTAGATTGAATGATAAAATTTTGGTAGTTCCCTCACCAGTAACTGGTACACAGAAGTGGCCTCTCCCTTGCCAGCATGTTCAGCCATGTGCCAGAAATTGAGAAATGGATTATTTCTTTAAACAGAATATGCCCTCAGAGACATTTGACCTCTCTTGGAGAACTCATGGGCCTTTAGGGATTTTTTAGCATGTGTAGAAAGGTTTCAGGGGATTATTTGATATTTACAAAAGAGCTTAAAAGAAACAAGGCTTTAAAAAATCTAAAAATTTCTATTTCCAGTTTACCGAAAACATTAAAGAGGAACAATTTTTGTCGTCATTTTTGTGTTTTTTGTTTTAAGTAAAATGCCATAACCCTTGTCTGCTGAGCTCTCTGTGAGAACTAGGTTTATGTAGATGACAAATAAAGCCAGAATCCCCTCTGGCAATAACTCTCCCCTCATGCTCCACAAAGGGTGTAAGCATTCAAAATCTGTGCCCCAAATGCCAAGCAGACTGTCCCACTGTCATGTCCTGGACATAAAGTGACAGTGTGATGGGAGTTTCCATTTATATGTCTCTGCTTCTTGCTCCCTCAGACTGAGTAAGTACATTTCAAAAGCAGAGTATCATAAGGAAACTATACCTGAGAGCAAAAGGATTCTAGAAAGGCTGAGATTAGCATTTAAATACCCAGTAGACAGAGTGTGATAGGTGAGATGCTGTAAGGGGCCCTCTGTCTCCAAATCTCCGTCCAACCTGTCTGCCCCCCTTGCCTGTAGTTCCCACCAATGGCATCACTGCTTTGGGTTAAGCTGTTGACTCTAAAAGTCCCAGTTAAATGCAAATATGTTATGTGGGATGTAGAACTAATTACCCCCATTATCATCCATTTGAACAAGTTAATTGACAACTTTCCCTAGAGAACCAGGAAAAGTCTAGGTCATGGGACCAAAGTGATGTATAAAAAGCAGGAGGAAGGATGGCAGGGGAAGAAGGAGCCCTCTAAAAGTAAGAAGACATGAGACATGCAGATTGGGAGAGGCCAAAGTAGCAGAATAGAAGAAAAAGGCAATTCTAAAGGAAAAATGAATATGTAGGAATATCTACTGTATGCCAGGCATTTTCATAAGTGTTGATCTGTGTCATCCTCACAACAGCTTTATGAGATAGGAAGGATTATTATCATCTTCCCCATTTCGCAGATGAGAAAACGTATCCAAATTAACACAGCTAATAAGGGTCGAGCCCAGAATTTGAACCCAAGTAATCTGGCTCATATCTTCTATAATTAGCCACCTTCAACTTAGATTATGTAACAGGTGCTCAGGAAAGTTTTGAAAGAGAACTTTTTATATTATAGTTCAGCTAGTGATAAGCACAATAGGTGAAGTGCTGACCTTCTTAGAAGATTCTTGAGAAGCATTAAAGGTCTCAGGAACTTTGTTTGGAAGACTTTAGAAAATGAAACAGGGAATTCCCTCTGATTCCCCTCAAGAGTTTGTGGATTTATGGATACCATAAGGCAGAAATAAGCATTTTGCATTGGCCTCAATAGTCTTCCATCTATGGTTAGGACTGGTCTGACTTATTATGGATTGACAAGTCTCCAGACAAATAGGTCCTCTCCCTTGGGTATTTTGTACTCACTATCGTATGACTTGATAACCTGTTCTTAATGACCTATGCCAATGGAGATCATTTGTGGTGGGGAAAATCCCAAAGTATTAATGATCCGGGGAACATGCAATTTGGCATTGGAATGATTAGATGGAATTTTGACCACAGAGCCACCTTCCACCTCTGTGGCAATTAATGAGTCAATCTGACTGTGTTTACTGTATATACCAGCTAGATGGGAAGAGGAAAAATCAGTCAGGTTTCTCCAGAGAAACGGAACCTGTGTGTGTATATGTGTGTACATACATATGTATAAATGTATACATGAGAGAGAGAAAGAGAGATTTCAAGAACTGGCTTACGTGACTGTGGGGTTGGCAAGTTCAAACCTGTAGAGACTGGTAAACTGCAATCTCTTGGGAAGGAGTTGATGCTACCTCTGCAGTATTGAAACAGAATTCCTTCTTCCTCAGAGAAACTTGTTTTGCTCTTAAGGTCTTTCAACTAATTGCATGAGGCCCTCCCACATTATCAAGGGTAATCTCCTTTACTTAAAGTCAACTAAGTGTAGCTATTAACCACATCTACAGAATGCCTCCACAGCAACACCTGGATTAGTATCTGCATAACTGGGTACTATAGCCCCACCACATTGACAGATAAAAGTAAACCATCACAGGAAACCTAGGGGAAGTTCCCAGAAGAATTTAAAAATCAGTATCTGCTTATGGAGATAATCAAAAGCTGGCCTACAGTTCATTTGGACTACAAGAGGATACATCTGTAAATGTAATAAAGCCAAGGATCAGATTTGAGAAGAAAGTTAACATTTGTTGAGTCCTTGACCCTTAAGTCTCTCTCTTATTTACTCATTAGCAGTAGCAGCTGAGTGATAGATCATATTAGCCCCATTTTACTAATGAGAAAACAGAAATTCATGGAGGTTAAATAACTAGCCCAAAGACACAAAGTTAACATGGCAGAGCTGGGATTCAAACCCAGGTGTGTATGAAGCCAAAACCCCATTCTTTGTACAAAACAAGATGCCTGCCCTGTCTGCTTAATCTTTCTAGAAGTAGAGAATAATTCCCAGGTACGTGTTTTTGTGTGGATAGTTTTATTTGTGTGTGTGTGTGTGTGCATTTGTTTTTGTTTTCAAATAAATAAGCACTTCAGTTTTAAAAAGGCAAGAGCCAAGGTTTGGGCAAAGCAAACTTGCCCAAGGACATAGAGGTAAATCAACATAGAATGTGAACTAGAGGAAAGGTCTCTTGACAAGTAGGATTTTCCCCACCATACTTGCCTTAAACTGCTTCTGTATTAAAATGAATTCAGCCTGCCTTAAATCATAAGCCATTTGGTTTTTTTTTTAATTTCAAACCTAGATTATTTTCTATAACCACTGTAGTTCTTCAAACTCTCTTTTTGGAAACTGCCTCACCGTTACAGCCACTTGACTGAAAAAGTAACAATAAAGATACAGTATTAGCCATCCTTTGTTACTGCCCATTTATCTTTATCTGCAAGATTTCGGCAACAAGACATGATTGGCAATATTATAACAAATACAATAAATGTCATATGAAGGGAGTGGTGAGAGATCCATAATTAAGTCTGATTCCCTATTAGGGCATTCTATCATTAAAAAAGTGTTTTACAAAGATCTCTTTTGATGCAGGGAATTGCTTGCATCTCTCTCCTGTGGATTTAAGTTGCTCTGAATATTAAGGAGCATCATATTGCCCTTTATCCATTGTTATGATATAATAGTAATAATTTATCATTATCTTACTTTTACATAGTATTTTATGCTTTTTGAATGCTTTCAAGTACATTATCTCAAAGACATCATTATGATTACAAGAGAAGTAAGGTAGAATCAGCGAAGTGCAGAATGAACTGAAATCTGAGTCTGTTATGCTCCAATGCAAGCATAATGTCAGATACCACATCAAGTGATGGACAGAATTGGCTTACAGGAGAGGTAGTCTTGCTTTGTCAGACATATGGAAGGTGTTGTCAGCAGAGATGGATAGGGTCCATTACAGGCTATCTTACAAAAGGAAACCAAGGGGCATTCTAGACAGAACCAGAAATCCTAAATGTAGACTTCAAGTAGAATCAGGAGCCGAAGTGGGCAGGCAGATGTGGAGGGTTCAGGCATGGTATTGTTCAAGCAAATTTCACTGAACAGCTTTCCTCTGCTGCTATCTTTCTCCAAATGCCATCTCAAAGACACCACCGGATCTCTGACACTATGTTTGTGACTCCGAACAAGATAGTTAACCTTTTGGCTCTTTACTTTTCTTGAGTTACATTATAGTAAATTTTTTGTGGATGAATAATGTATTATATTAAAGACGCTGCTGAATATTATGTGATAAGATATGGCTTTGCAGAAATACATGCAGTGATTTTGTTTAAGATAGTATTAAAATTGGTTTACAAATTTGGGGTGAATATCAGCTGGTGATGGGGAGTTTTTTCTCAAAAGTCTACTGGCTAGTGAAAAGAAGTCATCCATATATTTAGCTAGAGGGAATTTATAAAACAGAAATACGAATGGATGGAGTTGAGTCCCAAAGGGAAGAAAGTGCACTAAAATTACCTATTTTTTTAACTTGAACTTTATTTTGGTTGTTCATTTGGTTGAAACTGTCTTATATTTTTCCTTCTCAGCTTTGACCTCGTAGCCATTGGTGGTATTTCCGTCATCTTAATTTTTGACCGATCACCTTTCCTGTCTGAGAAGAGGACACTCTGGTTACCTTGGAATCAGTTCATTGTGGTAGAGAAAGTAACCATGCAGCGAGTTTTATCAGACCCACCATCCTGCGACATCTCCAACTTTATCAGCCCAAACCCTATTGTGCTTCCTTCACCACTCACATCATTTGGAGGGTCCTGTCCAGAGAGGGGAACTATTGTTCCTGAGCTGCAGGTGGGTACATTGGCCTTTGGATGTATAAAATCATAGTATCATGGAGTGGTCCATGGCATATAATGGCTGGATTCCTTTTCCTGGTATTTCTGCCAGCCACATAATGGTCTGCCCTTCATTTATCAAGAGAAGCCTTCAAATGTAATCTCTCTGGCACACATTTGCAAAGTGATTGGCCAGGGCTACAGGGTGCTATCTATGGCCACAGAACAAAGCAAGATGAACTAGCTATCATGAGAATTAAGCCCCAAACCTTGACCTAATGAACACTGTGCTCTAAAGAACAAAGCTAGCTAGCTAGCTCAATAGTGGTAACAGTATAATCAATGAGGTGGGACCGTCTGTGGTTCTGAAATTAAAGCTCCTTGAGAAATCTAGTTTCCTTCCATTGTCTAGTTTGTATCCACTGTCATTGTTCTTCAACATCATGACAACGCCTCTTGTCTAGCTGTGTTTGGCAAAGGTAGGTTTCAAGTGTATGGGTTTTGTTTAAAGCTTTGCTTTTGAGTGTTCAAGCTTTATATGTCAGAGGGAGACATATTTTTGAACCTTGGTATTTTATAGTTCCTGAGAATTTTTCTTTATTGAGCCTTCAATATTTTCATTTCAATATTAAGCCATTTAAACATCTATAGTATAATTTCATCACATTATAGAACCATTTTAATGATAGTTAAATGCAGAAGCTACCAAAATGGACCCAAGTCACACAGATTCAGAATTCAAGAGGTATACTCGAGAGGAAGTAAATGGACATTCCGAGACTGAATTGGTTTTTCTTCCATCACAACATTCCCAGTAGCTGTTAGCAATGCCCGGAGGATATCACCTGTGAAAGACTCACAAAAAAATAGTGCCCTGCTGGAAAAGGAGTCCGAGTTGCCCCTCCTGTCTTTTCCATTGGTTTTCCTTAGAAAGGAAGAAAAAACAAGACCATATTTAATGAGTGCATTGAACTGATACACCAGTCTCTGTATACTTGTCATTAGGAAGTACGGGTTTATTTCAGCACCAAAGTTTTCAAACTGCTCTAGGAGTGCATGTTTCCATAGGGAAATAAAATATTAAGGTGGTAAGTGTCCCGCTGGCCTTCACTAATGTACTTCTGCCACCACCTAAGGAGACAAAGCCATTGGACAGCTCGGGTATCAACTAGCTGATGTAGAGGAAGGAAAATCAGGCAAAGAATAGACAAAAGCAGTTTGTGTCCCCAGAAAAAGAATGACCAGAAATCCTGGATAATATGAGATACCATGTGTCTAACAACCTGTCCTACTATGTGCACTTGTTTGGAAAAGGGACAAGGGACAAGGTTCTGAGCTAAAAATGAGTGAGGGCACAAAAATATCCACACTATTCATGTCACCTTAAAAGTATTGAATAGGCTCTTTCTTTGGCTGAGTTTTGGAAATTGAAAGTCATGGAACACAAGATTCGGTTTTAGTGACCACTTTTGGTGGTTTAACTCCATATTTGCAAATAAACAAATAAGTAATAGCAATTAATTAAGGAAGCCAAGTGGTGGTAGTTTCATTCTGGGACCAATGTTTAGTATAAAATGTGCACAGGAGTTAATGGGAGTTATTTGCTTCTCAGTCTACAGGTGTCAACTTGGAAAAATTTATTCCCAGCTATTGGTATATTGAAACACAGAGAAATATGTAAGCAAAATTTGATTAAAAAATTGACCCTCGAGGTCATTCCCAAGGTCCAAAGAAGACAAGTTTGATTGCATCAGTAAAGATTAATTCTAGGGAAACCATAATCTCTGTCATAAAATATCATTTTGCTGAGCCTGTTTCTGGAGTCCTTCTTCCTAGAGAGTCTGGCCTGAATAAGGATTACAGCAGTGGTTTTGTGATATATGACTTAACACACCAAACAAGATTTTGTGTATGTATATATAAGAAAAAGACCCCTCAGTGGAGCCCAGAGCACTGAAAGGCTTGACATCCAGCAGTGTGATCTTTTACAACTCCTAGTAAGCAATTTTTGGAAGACTGTTGAAAAACGAAAACTGTTCTTTTCACAGTCTTTCCTGGCAGGGAAAAAAGGAGCTCAGTCCTCAGGGTTAGTTGGATGTCTTGTCCCCATGCGGATTGAGTGCAAAATTCAAAACCTATGGCCACACAGCCTCACCAAGATTCTTGCCTGGACGTCCACAGGATCCCTTTAACCTCTCTCCTTTGGTGTGTCTCTAAGACAAGAAAGCGTGCAGTGTCCTCCTCTACCCATGACCACCAATAGAGCCCATCTGGCTTTTTGTCTTTCAGGTTGTACAGGAGGAGATCCCCATTCCTTCCAGCTTTGTGAGGCTGAGTTACCTGAGCAGCCGCACCCCTGGGTATAAAACCCTGCTCCGGATCCTTCTGACACATTCGGCCATTCCTATGGGAATGATAAAAGTACACCTCACAGTAGCTGTGGAAGGGCGACTCACACAGAAGTGGTTTCCTGCTGCAATTAATCTCATCTACACATTTGCTTGGAACAAGACCGACATCTATGGACAGAAGGTTTGGGGCCTGGCAGAGGCTTTGGGTATGTTGAACTAATTCTATGTAAATAGCAGCATTATATTCACCAAACAGAAAATACTAGTTGCATACTAATTGGTATGTGGAATAATTATGTACCAAAACATTATGGTTTTCTTTTATTTAAAGGATCTAAGGCATTTTTTCATTCAAATCCCTCTCTTTGGACCTATTTAGAATTCCCTTTTGACAGATCTTTGCTTCAAAACTAGTTTAGTTCTCCTCTCAGGAAGGCTGCATAGCAGTGACGTCCTACACTATCTGACTTGTAACTGTCTCCAGAGCTGAATATTGCCTTCTAACTGTGACCTTTGGTGTGTCGTTCTTTAGGCCATGTTTTTGGGTTTGACATTTAGACTGTCATTTCCACTTAGAAACTACAAAATTTTAACTTATAGGCATCTCCACTTATTATCTCTTCTGTCTAAGATAGACTCCATTAACTTGTTACTTCAGTAGGTTAAATGCAAAAAAAAAAATCATCGCACCTTCCTAGTCCTTTTGATTTTCTGTTATTTCAAGACTCTAAAACCTAGAATCTTGGAGATAGTAGGGACCTTTGGAGGTCCTTTGGGCCTGTGGTTCTCAGATATTTAATTTGGTCAGACAAATGACATTTAAAAAATTAGACTGAAACAGATTTGCCAGCTTTTTATTTTGCCGAGCAAGAATATCTTAAAAAGAAAGGAGAAAAAAAAAAAAAAAACCTGCTACCATCTACTACTCACCTACCACTACCATAATTTCATCAAGGAGAGGGATATCTTAACATCAGAAAAAGGAATATTCTGTCTTAAAAAAAATGACAGTAAGCAATCTAATACTGATGCTCAGAGAGAGACAGACAGATGGACAGCAATGTCTTTTTTTCCCTCTCACCCTGTAGAAGACAGTGAAAACATCCTAACGGACCTGACACAGGTGTGTGGAGTCACAGCTGGGAGCCATTGATTCTTCTGCCTTCAGGCACTATCTCACGGAAACCATCCTTGGACAGAGGAGAAGACTATTTTTAAAGTTCTCCAGAGGAGATGTTTTCATATTCTCCCTTGGAAATGTCTATCATGGAATAACTCCCGTGTAACTGACATATATCTTTTAGACTTTGGTGTGTCAGTTTCCTCCCTTTCTTTCCAGAGGAAAACTAATAGAGGGGGGGAAACAAAGACTGGTGACTTTTCTTTGCCCCAGAGATCCTCATATATTTAAATTATTAACTCATCTCGGTTGGACTTTATTAGAAGGCAAGAAACATAGAGTGGTTCAGATTTCCTCAGTTAGTGAGGAGTTATTGTAAAGACATGGGAAAGTAAGAAAGAACAGGAGAAGGCATCAGCAAACTGCAGCCTTGCTGAAGACACATTGTAGTTCTAGGAAGCCAGTGTCTGCTCTGTTAACTTAGCAACAGTTCCAGTCGTCCCCTCTGCAGCCAGAGGCCACTACCGCCCTCCATGGTGACTCGGCTACACGGATGCCTGAACTCATCCCTTCTCCCATATTAACTACCCTCCCTTTCTCTCAGCTCTTCAAACCCCACAGTCTGGTGACTTGCTCTGTACCGTGCATCCAGATTCCTCTTAGAATATCGGATTGTGTCAGCCATAGGGTAAACACCTAAGCCGAGCTGTACCATTAGGCTAACTACCATCGAGGTTGTTGGCCAGCCTATGGACTCCTGCTTGAGCCCTATTTCAGTGAGTGTAGTGGTTAAGAGAACAACTCTGGAGCCAGACTCCGTCTGTGGGGTCAAATCATCACTTGTCTACTTACTAGCTATGAAACATTGGGTTCATGAGTTAATCTCCAGGTGCCACAGTTTCTCCATCTATAAAATGGGTATCATAAAGAGAATGCTACTCATAGGTTATTACAATAGGAGGATTAAATGAGGTAAATAATGTAAAGTGCTTCACACACGGTAAGCACTCAACAGATGTTCAGCACTGGTAGTGTTTTTGCAGTTCTGCTGGTGGCCAGAATATTGGGATCACAAGGTATAAAACATGGAGCCTACACAGGAGTTTGTTGTCTCAGCTTCTCTAAGTAGGGAACTAGGTATCGCAGGCAAGCACTCAGTTATTCTCCATTTTCCCTCCTTACCACACACACACACACACACACACACACACACAAATGCACACGCACACGCACATTCTCTCCTCTGCCTTTCTCTGGGCTATGAGAGGCTGGCTTCTAGGGACCTCATTGCCTGGACTCGTTCACTGTCTGGCTTCCCATTTGATGTGGTCAATGGGTGGCACCATCTGGGGACTGCAGGGTGGAAGGAGAAGGAGGTCAGGGTATTGACCCCTCTCCCTGCCTCATTGCAGTTCTGGCAACAACTACATTAGAAGATGGCAGCTCCTGTCCGGTAGCCCCTCCTCCACACCCCCAAGCTCTCTGGTCTGTATCATCATTCCCTCCATTTGGCCCTGAGAACCCAGGAGGCTTCTCAGTGTTGCCAGACCCTGAGTGGGTCACCAGCCCTTGTCAATTCCCTTCACCCTGCTTGTGCTGCTGTAAATAGCCGCTTCATCTGACTCTCTGCGTGAACACTTGAGTGTGATGTGTGATTCCTGCTGGGACCTTGACTGGTGCACACTCAAACCTCATGTTCTCTCCGGGATATTATCCTAAAGCCTTTGCTTCCCTAGGATAACCCAAAATTCCTCTAACTTTTCTCCATAGGGCTTTGTTTTCCAATTCCTTATTACCCTCCACAGAACCCCTGCTGGCTCATTGACTTTTTTGCTTGTTTGTTTTTACTTTTTTCTTAAGTTGTGACACTTAGCAGTTTACCCAGTACTCTTATGAAGAGCTGACCAAGATAATGTCTAGCAGCCATTTCTTGCCAGGGTTCACATAAATGGAATTCAACCTTACTTTTTTAAGTAGTGGCTTTATTGAAATATAATTCACATACCACAGAGTTCACCCATTTAAAGTGTGCAATTGGGTGATTTTTAGTATTTTCACAGTGTTGTACAACTATTAGCAATATCTAATTCCAGAACATTCTCAGCATCACCCCACAAAGTAGCACCTCACCCACGCTAGCGGTCACTCTCCACTCCTCCCTCCTCTCCAGGCCCTGACAACCACCAATCACCTTTCTGTCTTTATGGATCTACCTCTTCTGAATATTTCAAACAAATAGAATCATCCAATATGCAGTCTTTCATATCTGGCTTCCCTCTCTTGGCATAATGTTTCCAAAGCTCATCCATGTCAAAGCATGTATCAGTGTTTCGTTCCTTTCTGTGGAATGGACTGAAGAATATTCTGTTGCATGGATACCACATTTTGTTTGTTCATTCATCAGCTGATGGCCATTTGGGATGCTTTACACCTTTTGGATATCGTGACTGGTGCTGCTATGAACATTCATATACAAGTATGTCTTTGAATATGTTTTCAGTTCTCGGGGGAATATACCTAGGAATAGAACTGTTAGATCATATGGTAATTCTGTGTTTGACTTGTTGAGAAACACCAAACTGCTTTCCATGGTGTCTGCACCATTTTATCAACCTTACTTTATGCACAAAATGTGTTACTTCTCTTTCTTTTAAATACCTCCAGTGCTAAAGATTCTAAAATTTTCTTCTTGGGGCACCTGGGTGGCTCAGTCATTAAGCGTCTCCCTTCGGCTTAGGTCATGATCCCAGGACCCTGGGATCGAGCCCCACATCAGGCTCTCTGCTCGGCAGGAAGCCTGCTTCTCCCTCTCCCACTCCCCCTGCTTGTGTTCCCTCTCTGGCTGTCTCTCTCTCTCTGTCAAATAAATAAATAAAATCTTTAAAAAAAATAAAAAAAATAAAATTTTCTTCTTTGTTGTAGTTAAGCACTCTTAATGACTTAGCCTCTAATATGCCCATGGATTATTGAATAAACAACTAAAACATAAAGAAAAGCAAAGACTTTCTAGTATACATACCAGTGGTGAAGCCTCCATTCCTACTGTTTGCCGATGGGTATTGGTTTACTTTCTATTTTTACAATCATATTCCTGGTCAAAACTTCCTGAAGCATTCTAACTATAAAATGGCCTTAATTAAAATGCTAAAATATATGTTGTTAGTTCATTTTTAAGGCTAATTAACAGTAACAAAAACAAAAGAAAATTGATCTACCCAGAAATATCCAAAGAGAGAGGGAAAAAAGTATTGCTCATGGTATTTTATGTGCACTTAAAGGACATATATTTTTTTAGGGTAGAGAAAGAACTCTGGCGAAGATCTCAAACAAAATAGCCAAAATAATTTCAAGCATAGTGCCTAAAATGGAATATGGATTATTTACCTTATAGGAAATGTCCTTGATAATCTTGGTTAAAGCGATTTTTTATTTACTACCTAGTCTCCATTTCCATATACATGGAGACTAAGAGAATTTCTTGACAGTGGTAAAACTTTAGAGCAGGTGGTAGAATGAAGTCGGAGAATCTAACTCCCTGCAGATGGATTGTGAGCACCTTACGAACACAACAGACGATAAATAGTGGAGACAAAGGGATCAAGGATGTGGCCACTGAGCTCATACCTTAATAGAGATGACTGAATCTAAACAAATAAGGAAGAAAAGATTTAGTTGTACTCCTGCCCATATTTTATAATCGCTTAACTAATGTGAGAAGAAACAGACTACATTTTGCCCCAGATATTAACAATGGTGCTATATATGTCACTTCTCAGATTTGCTTCAGATTCAGAGGTCCTAGTATAGTCTTGTGGCAGGCCGAATAATGACCACCACTCCCCAAAAACGTTCATCCCTGGAATCTGTGAATGTATTCTTTTACATGGCAAAAGAGAATTAAAGTTACAAATGGAATTAAGGTTGCTGATCACCTGACCTTGAGATGGGACAATTATCCTGGATTATCCAGGTGGGACTGATGTCATCACAAGTGTCCTTAAAAGTGGAAGATGGAGTCAGAAGGGGAGGTCAGAGTTAAAAGAAGGTGTAACTGTAGAAAAAAGGCACAGCAGGGTCAAATATTGC